CAAGAGAACTAAAGCACCATCACACACTAAAATAAAAGGAGGCGAACAACAAAAGTATGAACAACAAATCAAAATCCTTAAACCGTACCGAAATAGCCTAAGAAGAAAAATCGTACCGAAATTGCGTCGTCGAACCTTCCTTGGCTTCGTCGGAGATGATAGAGCGAGATTGGAGCCGACGGAAGAGCGAGATTGGAGGCGACGGAAGAGCGAGATTGGAGGCGACGGAAGAGAATCGTCGTCGAAGAGAAGAGAAAGCCCTAAGAAATGTGTTTTTTTTTTTGGAAGTTTTTTTTGTTAAACACAAAACAAGGGCAGTGTGGACATTTCTCTCTTTAATGAAGGTTCTATTTGTGACTTTTCCCTTCTGAGGCTCTTTTTGTGATAAAAACTTGAAATGGGCTATTTTGGTCAATTGCCCTTTTCTCTTTACCGGTTTTACTTTTCTAACAAGTGAGGAAACAACGTTCTAAAGCTATCCTCGGCTTCATATGATTACAGCTTTTGTCTTCTTTGAATTGTATACCGAGATGGTCAATCCAAGCAATCAACTTTTGAGCTTTGAATCACCTCATTAACTTTCCTTCTTCCACTAACTTTACAAGAGACTTACAGCGACTCAGATTTTCTGAATTAGACTGTCTTGTGTTGTTACTGAGTCTACTATGCAAGTCCTTTCCCACAACAAAGCAGAGGATTAGGCAGAGTACTTAATCCAGAAGACACATGGCTTAAGAAGTGGACTCTGTATATTGTTGCTTTTTTAAAGAAAGCTCATTAATGAACCAATTCCTTCTCTGATCCACACAACAACCACACAAGCTAAAGCCATTACTAAGGTCAAACTCATTGAGTTCCACTGAGAACCCAATAGTCAGGTTTCTTGAACTTACAAGAACAACAAGATCAAGCTTTCTAACTTGAGAAACAATAAGTTATTTTGCAGCATATTGCTAGTTCTCCCCAGTCAACAAAAGTCTAAGTGCAATCTAGAAATCTAAATTTTCCAGTAAGAACCATTCCAATTGTTCACAAACCCTGCCAGAAACTTCTATCGAAGTCAGAAAAAACAAAAAAAAACTTCCACCTAAGTCTATAATAAGTACCCCCTAAACAAGAACTTTAACTCTATCCTACAAAAGTCCACAATCTTCCATAGATCAATCCACTCAACACTTCCAACAATATATATATATATATATATCAATATTCCAACAATGATTACATAACAACTATATTAACCGTCTTCTACTGTAAACAACAACATTACAAAACAGATTAAAGAGTTTATTTGCATCATCCTTGCAGACACAGCATTTCTTTTTTCTTTTTTTTTTCTTTTTGAGCAACGGAGACAGCATTTCAAACTCATTAGAAAAGTGGATAAAAAATGTTTCAGGTCTTGATGTCGTTAGTGTCTCTAGCACACCTGGTAATGATGTTGCATCCTCTGCTGTAAGAATTGGCTTGTCCTGAGCGACAAGCATAGTACGAAGAGCCTGGCTTCTGACAAGGAACCATGTCTCTCCTTAGCGTTGCGTAGCTTATGTACTGTTTCCGCATCATCATTACTCTTCGGCTTATCTCCGACGGCATCATCTCCTGTCCTTCTTCCCCGACTACACCGTTCCGGTCAGGCATTGCGTCTATTTCTCGGTTCACCGACGAAGTAGGAACCTCGACGGAGATCGAGAGATGGGTCTGAAGGAAAAGTATGGATAAGTAAACGAGAGCTAAGGATCTCGACATGTCTGTGTGGGAATTTTTTGGTGGTGATCTCTGCCTTGCAACTACCAAGTAGCTAGCTCTTGTGGTTAAATCGGTTGGTTTAAAGATGGATAGAATCTAACCTTGAACTGTAACGTCAAGTATTTAATTACATCAAATCCTCTTCTTTTTCAGTGGGTTACTCCAATTTTCTTATTTATTGTGGTCCACTCACAAACACTTGGTTCCTTTTGAGAATTCATAATTCTTGTTGTTCTTTCTTGCCAAATAGGATGAACATTTTTTTTAATATCCTAAACTTTATTTTATTTAACTTATGATAATAATACCTTTTTATATATATGTATATAAATTAACACGAAATATTGAGATGCAAAATCGTAGTTAGACCATTGATTTGGCTTATGTAAATCACATTAACTCTTCTTTTTATTGTTGACACCAAAACTGTTATTTTTTTTTTTGACATCAAACGGCTGATCTATTACTCAAGGCATTTGAGGTGGTCTGGGAAGCCAGACCGGAATAGAACAACCAACATACACAAACTTACGATAAAACGACCTAGCTGTCTTCGCTAGAGAACCAGAAACACTGTTCTGTGCTCTAGGGACATAACAAATCTTAAATTCAGGAAAACAGATCTTCAAGGTCTCCAATTTTTCCAGCTCTGTTGAGAAATTAGGCCATCCATGAGGATTCTTGAGCATCTCTACCAACTCCTTCCAATCAGTTCCAAAGCTCTGACATGGCGAATGTTGAAGCATATTCTCCATTGCCCATCGCAGTGCTTCCAACTCTGAATGCAGCGCCGACTCCACTCGATCAAAGTTCCGCAGTCCCATGAGATCAATATTACCAGAATTATCAAACAACACCCATCCACAACCACTGAAGCTATTTGTAGAAGTCCAAGATCCATCTACCATGCATATATTCCGCAAACTTAAGATTTGGTCCTCATTAATTCCCCTCACAGTGGATTGCAGGCATTCCTGCTCATTTGCTTTAAACCATGCCTGACATTCACTCTCAGCATATCGTGCTACCTCCAATGGGTCCCTTTCAATACCTCTAAAGAGTTTGTCATTCCTAGCCTTCCAGATGTACCATATTAACCAAGGATAAGGATCCCTGTCTAATTCTGGTTCTATTATCGCGTTTTTCCTCCAGAACAGATAATCCATATTCGCGTACATACTTTGTACAGGGAACAAAGTAGGGTTGGTAGGCGTAGATGATAATGCCCAAACTTGTAATGCAGGTGGACACTCAAAAATTGCATGTGTGATAGTCTCATCTGGTTCCCCACATCGAGGGCAATGGTTGTCACATCTCATATGTCTATAATTTAAAATACTCGTAACTGCCATATGCCCTGATATTATTTGCCACATAAGATGGCAAATCTTCTGGGGGGCCCTGACCTTCCAAGCATGTGCTTAAAGTTTAGTAATACTGGGCTCACGAACTTCTGGCTCCTCTTCCTTACGCAAGATATTTCGTGCTACCCAGTACCCAGATTTAACAGTGTATTGTCCATTCCTCATATAGCTCCAGCAGAAAGTATCACGTTGATGCATAGAAATAATTGCCAAACTCTTGATTAGTGGTATGTCAGCAGCATCGATTTAGTCGTGAAGACGATTCCACCTTCTTCTCTAGGTAAGCAAAGTTTATCCCATGTCGACCAGTGCATACCCCTTTTTGGCGGATTGGAGCTCCACCAGAACTGTGCAATGGCACTAGCTAGGTTCTCACAAATCTCTAATGAGAGAAGGAAGCAAGACATTACATACGTCGGCAGGGCAAGCAAGATAGACTTTATCATAACTTCTTTTCCACCCTTCGAGAGCCAGCGACCAGTCCATCCATTCACCCTTCCTCTCAACTTGTCCTTAAGGAACGCAAAGAGCTTACATTTGGAGCCACTTATGTCCTCCGGTATACCTAAATATGATCCCATTCCACCTTCATTCTGGATCCCCAGAGTGTCTTTGATCTCTTGTCTCACATCCAGTCCAATTCTTTTACCAAAGAGTAAAAAGGACTTATCAAAATTAATACATTGTCCAGACGCTTTTCCATACACTTTGACCACTTTCATTACTTCTTCACATTCATGGGGCTCCGCCTTACAGAAAAACAGACTATCATCAGCAAAGAGAAGATGAGATACCGAAGGGCACGCACGCGTGATACGCATCCTCGTTATCTTTCCTTGGTTCTCTGCGTGATTTAGAAGGCTAACGAGCGCTTCCGTGCACAGAATAAAAATGAAAGGAGACAAAGGATCCCCCTGTCTTAGACCTCTTTCCGGAGTAATATTACCTCTCGGACTTCCATTCATGAGGACTTTGTATTTCACTGACGTTACACATCTCATTATCATAGATACCCAGACCTCAGAAAATCCCATCTTCCTCATTATCATATAATAAAATCCACATGTTTATGTTGTGTGATGATTAAGATAATCCAAGACTACAACTTTTTTTTGTCAACATCCAAGACTACAACTAGTTTATAATTTTATATATAAAACTAAGTGGAGTAGTAGTAAATATTTTTTTGAGTCAGCAACTCATTATGATTAATGTGTGGGGTTTTGGGTAAAGATATAATCACTTGCGACCAAAGAAGTTCAACAACTCAACTACATTTTAGTTAACATGAACTTTTTAATTGCAAATTGGTCTTAATTTTATTTATTCTTATATTTTGCCAAAATAAATTATATGCTTTAATATAATCCAATTAATTTCTAATTTCTTTTGTTATTTTCATCATATTAGTCTAAATTTTTAAATATACTTAAAACTTATACTGATAAAAAAAGTAAAATTACATAATTAATATAAAAAGTCATATACATAATTAATAAAACCAAACTAAAACATTAAACTTATTAATACAACATAAACTAAACACTTAATAATATGGAAACTATTTCCGGAACCACTAAAATCATTAAAATCGAATGTTTTATTTATTTATTTATCTTTGTTGTAATAATTTTATTATAAGATAATGTTTGATATGTTCGATTGTATTAAAATAAAACAGTTAGGTAAAACTAGTAAAGATGAAAAACTAGAAATTATTATTAATAATTAATAATAAAAGAGAGATGGAATATATTTGGAACCCTATTTCTTTACAAAAAAATGAAGTAAACCATTAGAATAAATGTTATTTCATTTTTTTCTTCATTTTGAAGAAAGTGAACATTTGAAGATAAAAATGAAGCCAACCATTGAAGATGTTCTAATAAATTCCTATGCTTCACTGACTTAAAGTTTTCTCTTCTCTGTTTCCAAAAATCAAGTGTTGATCTCAAATCACGATTCAGCTAAATTAATAATCATCCGGGTCAAAAACGAATAGACAAGGCCACTGCCCACCGATAATAATATAATCCAGACAGTGCTACATTGTTGTTATATATCAATGTTCTAAAAATCGTTAGGTGGGGTTTACGTGTTTTATAGAGGATTATGGTTAATCGGGTGTCTATGTCAAAATTTTTAATGTTTAGACCGATTTTAGAAAAAAAAATTGGAAAAAAATATTTCGTTCTAATTTGATTTGCCGACTATGGGAATGCGTAAACACCGCCTAAACCAATTTTAGAACACTGTTATATACGGTTTTTCCTTTGCATTAATTTAATTGTAGCCCAACCGGGTCAAATACCCCAAAAAATTACAAACATCTAGAATATCACATGAAAGCAGTGACACAGCCAGTGTGAAATCAGGGGGGTCAACTGACCCATGTCAATTTTTGCAAACAAACAAATTCAACTTGTATTTTTGCGAAAAAAAATTCTGATGAATTAGCTTATCGCCCCTTGCAAAATACATGATTTGTTATCATATTGATCCCTCTAAACTAAATATCTGCCTCCACCCCTGCTCAAAAGTGAATCCAATACAAAACCAAATAACCTCGGATGATCCTTTTTCAGAACTCTGTACGAAATCCGGTTGATTAAAAATCAATCTAGAATTTATGAAGTATTGGGCTGGTAGTTTAAGTTAATGTTGGTTATTTCATAGTTATTAGGAGTTTATTAATAGTTTTTATTATAAAGGATCATGGGTAGTTATCTAGTCTTTATATATTGGGGAAATTTGGGAAAATGCATTGAAATGAGATTATAATTCGAACACTACACCTTTATTTAAGTTTTTTTGGAAAATTTACTTAATCTCCCAATCTTAATTATTCCTCAATTCTTAATATAATTTTTAAAATCAATATTCTTAAAAAGATAAGATCGTTAGAGAAACAACATAATATTTTTTAAAATATTTGTTAGAGAATCTACACAATATTTTCCTATATTGTATATGAAAATAATATAAGGAATAATTTATAGTAGATGTCGATGTAGAAATTAAACTTTAACCATATTATATTCAAAGTCAAAAAAATTATAACAAATGTTAGTAGTCATTAAGAACTTACTAGATAGATATATTGACTTCTAGGAAGAATGAATATTTTTGTAGAGAAAATGTGAACTTGTTTATATAAGATTAAGAAAATAAAATAAAATTCATATAAACTTCATGATAAAATAAAAAAAATCACAATTTATTTTATTTATAAATATTTTTGTTATTTTTAAAAATTTATTGGTAAAAGACCATCTTTATCTCAACATACATATTTATCTTAAATATTAATAATTCCCCCTATTATTATTAATTTTGAATTATATTTTAGTTATTGAAATAACCAATTTGGATAAAAATGTAAATTCACATTGAATAAGGTGTAGGTTTCAAAAAATAAAATAGTAAAGGTAATTTTCAAATATCAAACTGATATAGGGTAATTTACATATATATTATCCCATATATATTTGTTATTTTGTAATTTGTTTTTTATGTTTTCTCAATCAATCAAATATAATACTCCAGAAACATTTCCTTTCTCTGAATTCTCCAACAATCCGCTTCTTCTCCTACATGAACCTTTGGCTCACCAATGCTGACTCTATCATCACTTCCTCGGTCTCCAACGAGCTATTGCATGGAGGTTCGGCGGCAAGTAGAAAGCACGCGAGATTACTGATAGTCAAAATTATTGTCACGA